TTGTCTGTTTTTTGTAGGTTTTTTTTCTTTGGAGCATTATTTAATTAAAAAAAATTATTTAGTGCATTAATGTAAAAAACAGTAGGTTTAAGTGTTATCATCAATCGACAGCAAGAAAAAAGAAGACCTGGGTAAGAACTTTATTTTATGTTTTTCATGTTTATTCTTTATTTATTTTTATAAAAGTAATAAAATATAAAAATAGGGATCTCTTTAGCTTAGTTAAGGTAAGATTTGGTAAAATTGATAATAATATTAATATAATGAAAATATTTCATAAGACACGCTCGTGAGTAGTTTGTGGGTAATGTAATATGATAGCTTAACATGAGCTCCAGATTCCCAAAGTGATTTACAACTTATCATGGCAGGAATAGTAGTTAGGCACAGTTCAGTGGGTAATAAAATAATAAAATGTAATTATAAATAGATGTATACTGTTACGAGTTTAAAACTACTTAGGATAAACAAATTTAGTTTCAAGTTACAATGTGAAGTCATTCGAGAAGGAAAAGGAGGGTAATTTAGGTTTATTTAGATTTTTTTTTAGTGTGTGGTTATGAGGTCGGTCAAATTGACCAACCTTGTATAGAGTTAGGGTAGAGAAAATAACAGATAGAATATAAATTTTTAATGAAAACAAACATTTGAAATATATTTAGAAGGTGAAAATCACCTTGAACACAGACTATTCAAAACAAATACTCGATATATTCATGGACAATTTTTTTTTAGTTTATTTAGATTACTTCACTAAAAAATATGATTTTTTGTATGTGAAAGATTTATAATGTTTACTGAAAGGCTGCCAAATTTTGTGAAGATATACATACTATACTAAAAGTTAGTTGTACCAAATTTATTAATATTGACATGAGTACAAAGAAGTCACGTGGTTACTCAAATCGACTGATCCTGTGTTGAGAGAGCTAAAGAAACAGTCTTTAATGATGTTTATGATAGATGGACTCTCACTGTTAGGCTCCTTCTTTGAATGAGAGGCATGTTGTCTTATCTATTTCCTTGTACGATTTCCAAACTAAGTGATTAGTTTCTTTTTACATTAAACAAATAAAGTGTTTCCTAAATGTGGAGGACTGGTCCTAATGGAGTTGCCAGTTTGTATATTTGTTTATGGTATGTTTTGCTTGAGATCCAAATGAATGAAATTCAGTAACTTTTTATAAGTATTGTATAAGTAAAATTTCCAATAAGATAACATTATTGTCTTAGTAATAACAACATGGATAGTTAGAACTAAAACATTTCTTATTTAATGAAGACAAGGACTCAAGGTAAGTGCACACATATATATAAAATGTGGTAAGTTCATTCACGTGTCTATTCATCAGGCTCTAAAGTTGTTAATTTCAATTACAGGACATGCTTAGTGCTTTGGAGGTCCTTCAGAATCAAGAGATTCTGTGCTACGAAGAAAGCAGAGTGTCTTTAGATAAAACACCAGATAATTTACAGTGGAAAGTAAATTTGTTGGCATCACTTTTGTCTCCATTTCTTGAAGGTTATAAGGTAAAAAATTTGGTTGTAAACTGTTTCTGCATAAACATGATACTACAAATAGTTCAGTAGAGAATTTATTCTTTACACTTCTGTAAGATATTTTTGAATAATACTTTTACAGAAATAATATTTCAAAAGACCCAGAAAATTGAGCACTTTGGAAAAGTTGATTGTTTTTCTCTTTAGTATTGAAGAAGAATATACCAACTGTTTGAAAGCCCTTGAATTTCTGGGTCTTCTGAAATCTACATGATGTGTTTGGGGATCCATTGTGTTAATTCTTTCATCATGGGTGATATTTCACAGAAACTATTTATTGCTTGTTAAGTGTCCGTTACTGAAACATTATTGGAGAATAACTTGTTAACAACAAACAAAATTACATAATTCTGTGTGCAGTATTGATGTTTTAATTCTGTGTAGTAATGGTGTTTTAATTCTGTGTATTAATGGTGTTTTAATTCTGTGTGCAGTATTGGTGTTTTAATTCTGTGTGCAGTATTGGTGTTTTAATTCTGTGTGCAGTATTGGTGTTTTAATTCTGTGTAGTAATGGTGTTTTAATTCTGTGTGCAGTATTGGTGTTTTAATTCTGTGTGCATTATTGGTGTTTTAATTCTGTGTGCTAATGGTGTTTTAATTATGTGTAGTAATGATGTTTTAATTCTGTGTAGTAATGGTGTTTTAATTCTATGTAGTAATGGTGTTTTAATTATGTGTAGTATTGGTGTTTTAATTCTGTGTAGTAATGGTGTTTTAATTCTGTGTAGTATTGGTGTTTTAATTCTGTGTAGTAATGGTGTTTTAATTATGTGTAGTAATGGTGTTATTGAAATGAAGTTTCTTACTGCAGATTAATATGAGTTATAAGCAGAAGAAATAGCTTATCAGATTAGTCACAATGTAAACAAAGTAAGTTTGGGTGTAAACGTATAGATGGTTGGAGGACCCATACAGTTTTGCCATGTGGTACAGGTGTGTAACAAATTCAATGTGTTTGCTTATTATGTGACATCATTAGGGGTTACTGGTAAATAGGTGAGTGATTTCACATCTCATTCAATTACTTATTGATTACTAGTGTTGTTACAACAATATTAACAGTTGAACAGAAAATCTTATTTAACAATACTTAGTACACATTACTAAAGATAAGCTGTCTAAAATTATTTATAAGGATTTCTGAGTGAAACTGAAAAAATAAATACAATATATATATATATATAATAATATGTAAACTACACTATGTTCTATATATAGTGCCACTGTGGCCTGTTGCCCAATACCAAGTGGGAATACAGCATATATAGTAGTGGTTTAGACACTATTTGTATTAGCAAATTGCTTGACAACAACTGTTATGGTGTTAACTGGATTAAGTTGGTGAAGTGTGATTTTTTTATCTATTTATTTATTTTGAAACACATCACAATTAAGAGAAGGATTTTTTTACCACCAAGTATTATTGATTATCATATTATTAAATTAATCTGCTCATTATACAGAAGAATTAGTAGACTAGGCTAGATCCCGGAGAGGGTCAAGCAACTGTAGCATGAACAGGAAAAAGATTACATTAGCAATCATGGATAAAAACATGCAAATGAAAGTACAGAAGAATATATGATAAC